TTTTCAAAGCAAGATTATCACTTGTCATACCCAAAGCCTCCCTTTTTTAGGGTCAGCGTCACAGGACAAGCGAGGGCTCTGAGAACGAGATTGGCTGTAATCGAGTTTATAAAATTTCACGAGAGAAATAAATATGGTGCCGGAGTTAAATTATTAAGCCCCAGCGAAACGATCGCAACATGTCAACGCAAGATATCGCAACGCAACATGCTTGACCACCCTGTTGCGACGTTTTGCGACGTGTTGCGACATAAAGGGTGTTGTTGGCTTAAATTAGACCGTTTTCAAGCCCCGGCCAAACGATCGCAACATTTCAACGCAACACATCGCAACATTGTTGGGCGCAGCATCTTGCAGGCGCTTGGACACCCTGTTGCGACATGTTGCCGCATGTTGGGTGTTGTTGGCTCAAATTTAAAAATGATCAAATTTTTCATGCAACATTTGTGGATGTTGCATGATATTGTAGTCGTTTGGCCAGGCTCGTGCAACAATGTTGCACCCGGGCATGCCCCTTAGTTCGATTTTCAATACCCAACATGTCGCTACATGTCGAAACAGGGTGGCGAAACGCGCTCAACATGTTGCGCCCAACAATGTTGCGATATGTTGAGTTCAAATGTTACAATCGTTTGGCCAGAGCTTGCAAATGCTGGGCCAACAATGTTGGGATATGTTGTATCGATATGTTGCGATCGTTTGACCGGGGCGTCAAACTTGAGCCAACAAGACACAACATGTCGCAACACTTCGCAACAGGGTGGGGAAACGCGCGCTACATGTTGCGCCCAACGTACAATGTTGCGAAATGTTGCGTTAGCATGTTGCGATTATTTGACTGAGGCTTTNATGTTGCGATTGTTTGACCGAGGCTTTACTGGTCATGTTCAGAGCTCTTAAGCCCCGGCCAAACGATCGTAGCATTTCAGCACAACATGTCTCAACATTGTTGGCCCAGCATTTCGTTACAAGCTAGCGCTCCGGCCAAACGATCGCAACGTTTGAACGCAACATATCGCAACATTGTTGGGCGCAACATGGTGC